TCAGGGGCACCCATGGTGATCGGGCTGAAGGCCTCAGACACCGACTTGGGCTGCACACATAGAGAAACAAAGATGCCATCATGGATCGGATCGACGGATGGGTTTGGTCCCAGCCAGGGGTTTCTTCCGCCCACCAGGGAGTGGGTGTTGATGCGCGCCAGGGCCCGTGCGATCGTGAGAGGCGCCAGGTGGTTGACAGCCACGTCTCTCGCGCTCGCGGTAGGTCGCCGCTCGGTCAACTCGTACAGAAGAGGCCTGCATGGATAGCACACAAAGCAGCCGCATGCACAGGGGATGGATGGATGGATGAATTGATGTGCTGCATGACTTCGTACATGTTCTTGAGTGTGTTCTTGACGGCGTGTGAGAGCTGGTTGGCGATCTTGGTGCGATGCCTGACGCCGTTGAGAGTACTGATGCCCCACTGGTCCACTTGGTCACTGTTCATGGGGACCGAGGCAAACAGCTGCACACAAGACACAGACACGCACACAATGAAAGCACTGAGCTCGGCAAAGACACAGACAGACGTACCGCGCAGATGACTTACGTGTTTGAATCTTAAGAAACTTTCGCTGCCGATCTCGCCGCCGCAGATGTCCAGCAGCGACTCCACACGGAGGCCGTCGGCCTTGGCTGCCCCCACGGCGGCCTCGCACACCACCCGCACCGGGCCGTGGTGACACCCAGCACCGCCCTCGGTGTGCGCGAAATACGCCTGCACGCATTCAAGGACAGTGCGGTGTGGGCCGTGTGTGTGAGTGAGTGAGTGAGTGAGTGTGTGCGTACCTGGACGAGCGAATTCAGTTTGTCTAGTTGCGCCTGTGCGCCGGTTTCCTTGGTTGACAGGTACAAGGCCATGAAGGCCGCCTCCAACTTGGCAAGACTAAGCCTGATCGATACACGCACACACAGAGAGAAGAACACATACAAGCCCGTCCACTCACCCACCCTCCCACCTCTGTCCGTGTATTGCCTGTCTGCCGCTCCCGTACGTGAGTGCCTCATACAGCTTCTGTAGGGTAGCCTCCACAGCCGCCCTGATGCCCCCAAATGCATGCTCACGACCATCCTCCTGTGGCTCGCCTCCCCTCATGTGGACCACCACGCCCCTCGCATGCCAATCGCACCTGCCCACCGTGAAGCCCTCGTCATGCGCCGAGTTAGCCAGCTGCTGTGACAGCTCCGGGGGGCTCCTGTCCGTGGCGGTGACGGCCTCCACCGCCCGTACACTCCACACACTATTGGCGTCCTGCGTGGCGGTGGCCATGAAGGACCGCATGAAGTCGGATTTCTCGCATACGGCGTCCTTGGTGGTCCGGAGGAAGCGCAGCTTGTATGTGAGGGGCACGTTGGGATAGATGCGCGTGGTGCCGGTGGTGGGTGGGTCGTCTTGCTGCTGCTGCTACTGGTGCTGTATCGTGTCGTCGAGCATGCGGAAGAAGGTCGTGACGTCATCGGGTGCCTGGGCGTTGGGGGCCGCCATGGCGTGAGTCGACGGCAGACTGACGGCCACCACACGACCACCACCACCACCTTGGCCACTTTCAGGCTGCTGGTCCGATCGGCTGACGTGTAAGAAAGTGTGGATGCTGGTGTTGGTGCGTGCATTGGCACGTGGCTGGATGCGGTGGTCCATGAGTGTGCAGGCGAGGCGGGTGGCCGCCCAGGGGTCCACCAACGGCACGCTCGCGTTGCGGTGCATCATTCGAAGGTCCTCGGGACGCACAAAGACATGAGAATGGCCGCGGTGGCCATCAGCACCTGACAGACAGACAGACAAACAGGCAGGCAGGCAGGCAGGCAGAGAGCAGGCAGGCAGGCAGGCAGAGAGAGGGAGAGAGGTACGGTGCAGACGTGTCGGTCGGTCGTGTGTGCGCACCGTTGTGGTGCGGCTGTCCGCCTGTGTATTTGGTGTCCTTGACGTAGTTCTCGATGGACTTCGGGATGGTCAAGTGGATGACCCCGTCCGCTCGCGGCGCGTGGCCTGCGTGGACGAGGTCAACGCCACTCGTCGCAACCAACACGCGAACCTTCCCTACACACACATAGACACGACACAACACAACACACGTGGGCAGCCATGTCATGCGTGTCTGTATGCTCCGCGTGTGTGTGTGTGTGTGTGTGGATGGACGCCCATAGCCCACTCAGTTCCTCACCTGTCATGAATCGATCCATCACCGCGGCCAGCTGTCCCCTCGTTCGCCCCAAGTGATAGGGTTCCACCTCCCCAAACACACCTGCAGTGCACACAACAAACCACAACACATCACAACACAACACTGTCACTCTCTGAGTGGTGTGTGTGTCCTAAGGTACGTGTTTTCATCAGGGAATCTGCAAGCATCTCAGCGTCAGACTGTCGCCACGCAAAGACGACGATGGTCTTCATGGCCGCCCAGGGCTGTCTTCTGAGCAGCGCCTCGACCTCACGGACACGGTGGAAGTCCCAACGGTGCTCGCTGTACGTCATGCCGAACACGCCATCGTCATTGGAGCGAACTGGACAGACAGAACAGTGACAAAACGAAGAAGGAGTTGGGGCTTGTTGTATCAATCTCTGTCTGTCTGTCTGTCTGTCTGTCCGTCTATATTTCTTGGGTGTAGTGTGACTGTCCGTTGTGGTTGCATAGTATGCAGTGCATGCCTTACCTTGTTCGTCTTTGATTTGATTGGCGTCGGCGGGGTGCTGAAAGGTGCTGGGCGGCAGATTGGCGTCCTGCTTGGCCTTTGTGTCATCTTGAGCCGACTCCTGCAGGCACACACATCATCAATCACACACAGGCATCATTAATACAATGAATCTGTGTGTGTGTGTGTGTGTGTATGCGTGTGTGGCACTCATGTCACTCGTGTGTCAGTGTGTCAATGAGTCGGTGAGTCAGTGTGCCTCCTCCGGCTCAAATCAGCGTACCGAGACTTGGTCGCCCCACTTGATGTCACACCATCGGTCCCAGAGCTCGTCACTAGACTTGCCTTGGTACGGTGTGCGGGACCGGATGTCTCGCTCGATGAACGAGTCGACCCTCCCGTCGCGGACCAACTCCCATCTGGCCTTCTTGTCCAAGTCTACCAGCCGCACTCTGTCACCCGAATCCGAGCTGATCCGCATCTCGTCGGCCATCCTAAGGATGCAGGGATGGATTTGTGTGTGTGTGTGTGTGTGTGTGTGTGTATGGTGCTGGGGGGCTTACTGTGGCTGTTTGCGGAGTGTGTTGACGTAGCGGGAGAAGGCGCATTTGCGCTGGTGGAGCTCATGCCTGAGGGCCTTGACCTCGTCCTCGGGCTGGCCCTCATACAAAAGGAACGGGTCGACCTCCTCCCACACACTGCTGCGGCGGCTGCTGGCGGGGCGTGACTTGGAGGACAACGGGTCGGACGGCGGTGGTCGGGGCGTGCACTTGCCGCTGCTCGTCATACTCACCAACAAGTCAATCGCTCGCGCCATGTCTGCACAGCACAGCACAGCCAACACACACACCAACACACACACCAACACAGACACAGACACACAAGTGCACGTGCACATCACGTGCCTGGCCCCCCCACACTGTGCGGCCCTGTGCGGTGTTGTGCGTACCATTGCGGCGGGCCAGCAGCGCGAATTCGGCGTTGAGCCTCGGGAAGCCCATGGCCACGAGCCCTTGCACCTTGTCCTGGTCCAGCCGCGTGACGCCGTGGCCACCTCGGTGCTGTGGCGGGGGAGTGACGTCGCCGTAGCCACCTCGGCGCTGCTGCTGCTGCTGCTGTGACGGGGGAGTGAAGTCCGGCACCCGCATCGTCGCAGGCCTGTTGGGAGGAGTGGCAGGGCCGGGAGACAATGTCATGGGCATGTTG